TTGAAAAGCCAAAGAATGTATCAATATTTGGACCGGCAGAAACGGAAGTTGGTTTTTCGTTTAATACTGTAAGTTGCCTCTGAACTGCGTGTAAAAGAGGGTCACCCTTACCCATAACATCTAATTTCATATGAATATCTTCTAACTGGTCTCGAATATCTAAAAAATCAAAAGGTTCTTCCTTACCTTTCATTTCCTTTGTTTGTCCCGTTGCCATCTTCTTTTCGGATAGAATACGTTCTCCTCTGGATGTCTGTCTGGTGACTGGTCCCTCTCTATCTGACATTATTCATGTCGAAAGTCTCTTCCTCTTTTTGCATCCTCCACCATATGTGACGACGTTACTGACTTTGTCTTGGTGGCGCGAGGTAATAACTAAACAATTCCATGTTTTCCCATATTCTTTATTATCGCTTTCTAACTACGCTATCTACAGTTTATTCCTCTACGTTCAACTTCTTACATCGTTCTCCCCGTCTACATTACATTCTTCGCTTAAGTACAATAAGGTCGTGTCAATCAACTAAAGTGACACTACAAAACACTCCCCGCTCTTATTCGCTGCACGCTGTCACTAACTAACGTTACACTATTAACATGTTACACGCTTTGACGTGCTTGATGCCTAATAAATGTAGGGTGTATTTGTTTAACTTTAAGGTTGTAACGTTTTCAACTGTTTCAGTCACTCTCTCTCACTCACTCACACACACACGCGCGCGCGAAGTCACGGTCATCTTTAACTGCTATAGCTATCTCTATCTATAACAGGGTACCGTGAACTGTCAACATAGTTGATTCACACCATCATCTTTACAGCGGGACTTATTCATCCTTGTGTTAGCTGACCTTGCGAGGAAGTTAATTGGAATATATTTCTGAAAAACAAGTTAGGAAAATTCACTAGTTTACTAAAGACACGAAACAACTATCACTTTTACTTTAAAACATTTTTTTCATATTTTGATAAAATGCGTTAAGGTATTGATGTTCATTTATTTTTTCCATTTTTAGAACATCAGGATGATGGTGGGGTATTCATTATAATGGTTTATTTAAGCTTTCATCACATGCTGGTTATTTTGGTAACGATAGTCCGAATATTTTTCAAATCGCACCGCTCTAGTCGCCGACTTACCCAAGCCCATTTTGGAATTAACCGCTAACTGTAGTTCATACAGCATAAGACGTGTTTTGGTGATTAATAAAAAAAAGTTTCCAAACATTAAATAATGTTTTTCCAGAATGTTATAAAACGCTTATAAAACTGCAAGGGCATCATTTTGCATGGAGTTAAAAACACCCATAACGTTACCATGACGTTATTTTATACCATCACCACCATGTAACCAGCTGATAACGTCGTGAAAACGTTATTTGTTATTTGGATTATTACTTAATAGGCCTATTTTAAATAATCACACGTTACTGCAAGGAAGGACACAACGCGTTCGAGCAGGCTGCTTCTCGCCTTCAACAGCCCCATATGTTTACAAGGGGAAGTTTTAAGCAAAATTGTTGAGTCTTGTAATAAACTTGTTATGGGATCGTATATATGGGATTGTGAAGCATTTTTTTCTGTGACGAGCTTGAAAAGCTAAACATGTTGTTTAGCAGCTCCGCGCGTTAAGGAATTCCACACCTATAGCAGCTCCATATGTTTAGCAGCCTCACGCGCTTAGCAGGGGAAGTGCTTAGCCAATGTGCTTAGCTTGTGATAGACTTGTTATAGAATCATATGCCGGTGAAGCTAAACACATAGCTAAACGTGTAACAATGCCAACGTGTCTAGCTTTTTCTTTTGTGAAACGTTTGAAAAGCTATACGCGTTTAGCATTTACACAGATTTCTAAATACGTATAGGTGCCTAACGTGTGTTGTATGTATTTAAATGCCAAACACTGTTTTTACAGTGTATGAAATGCCAAGCGAGCCGAATCGGGATGTTTTTTAATCCCGAACGGTAAGTCCATTTCTTTCATTATAGATGTGTACGACACATTTTTATTTGCTCTGAGATGGCTATTATACAGGGCCAAAGCCTCGCCTTCAAGACACCACAGAAGGTAGTCCAGACACTCGTTTTGTGACCATTCTTTTATCTGGCGATAACTTTCATATCTTTTTCTGAAAGACTCCCAGTCGTCACTGTTTCCGTCAAACGATAATTGTTTAGGTAAATCACTGGGGTCTACTCTGTCCTTTTTACCTTTTGGACCTACTTTTTCTGGTTTGGGTAGCCAAAAGTATTCTTTTTCACTGTTTAATCCCTTTCATAAATTAGTGGTTCGTCACAGAAAACGGGAGACGAGATTCAGGCCTACCCAACTACCAGACTCGGCACCTACGGATCCAGAATAAACCGGTATATCAGACCACACTACCCGTTTTCAAGGTGTGTGTCAGATCGCATTACAGAGTATCATACCCATCACAAACTTTGTAAGCCTATCTGTCATCCGGGTACATGGAAATCGGCAATCCTCGGCTCATTCCGCAAGCTCCATACTATTGTCGAGTGCGGAGACATCGGAGTAGTTCCGACTGACAACATGGCGACAGACGACTCACTGAATCTCGTCCAGAAAATATTTAACCCCCGACAGAATATGCTTCCGCTATCAAAATTAGGTCTACTTTTCTAAATGAATATATAAGTTTGCAAGTTATCATTTACAAATCATCATTGGCTATGTTCGAACCTAAATTTTATGTTAAAAATTGCGGTATTGTCAGATTTTTAGCATAAACAGGGAAAATTGCAGCAGCGCATGAATCTAGATCGATGAGATGCACTACTTTCCAACCCCGCTTTAGACCACGGTGGAAGTGAAGAACAAAAGATTCAGACGTGGTGTAACTCGCATAACCGCACGTCTCGCATGAATGCGTTATAACCCGCTAATGGACCCGTGCTTCGCACTCGTGTATGCCACCTAACCCTCGCTGACTCCGGGTCTATCTATTACTACGATCATCGCTATCACATCGCGCACCAGGCAAAATCGGTGTGGTGGCTGATACTCTGTAATGCGATCTGACACACACCTTGAAAACGGATAGTGTGGTCTGATATACCGGTTTATTCTGGATCCGTAGGTGCCGAGTCTGGTAGTTGGTTAGGCCTGAGATTCTAGGGCGCGTATAATGTTTTCCTATTGAACTAGACCGGTATTCATGATTTTGTTAAACTGTATCGGCAAAATTTTGCTCAACATGTCGTTGCCGCTGTCCGGGTTTAGGAACATGAAACTGATACAAATCATAATTCACATCACCCTTATGGACAGACGGAGCAAAGTGCCGACTACTTTCCTTACCATTCGGCAAGGAAGTAACAGTATCAGGGTTCATGACGCGGCCTGGAGACTTTGCATGCACAGAAGATGTTACTTTTTTATCCTTGTTATTGGCACGCAGCCTCTCAATAGGCAGAGCAAAAATGTCGTATTCAGAGTCTAAAGTGGCTGGCTGCGATGTGAAAGATTTTGGGTCTATAGCTGAGTGAAAATGTGATTTTGAATAAGATTTTAATTTAGAATATGTTGATGGTGAATAATTAGCAGCGTTTTTTACATTTTTACTGCGAGAAATTTGTTCTTGGTGTTGAATTTTCTCACCCAGTTTGAGAATTTTTTCAAATTCCACCCTATATCTCTCAGCAGCCGCTCTTCCTTCATGCTGAATGTAGGAAGTCACTTTAGAAGTTGTGTTATGACTTTTTTCAGTGGATAACACGCTAGGGTCTACATGTAGGTCACCCATGTTGACTTCAGATCCTAATTCACTGCTGTGAGTACTGCCAAAAGAGAAATTTTTTATTTTATTTGATCCAATATTGGATCCACAAATCTCCAAAATGTTGGATCTGGTCACGGGGATCCCTTGCTCTCTAGCGTATATTATCCTTTCTGCACGTCGAGGATCTATACCCGGCAGCGTAACGAGCTCATCGTAAGTCGCACGATTGATTGGCAACCTTGATGCACTCGCCATTGTACATTTGTAAGCGAGAACCAAATTGATTCAAAATAATTTCACCTATCAAAGCACAATACACTACCAAGCTTATAGCGAAATTCACTATAAATAGAATCCAAAAACGTACAATTAATTCAAATTGAACACGACAGGTGAGCAATGCTACCCAACCCCCTTTTCCAGCTTATCAAATCTTTCAAATTGAGACCTCTAAAAGCAATATGAATATAATGGTTTTCTTTGTTTAGATAATGATTTATTATACAATAATCCTGACTGTATATTCATGAACTGGTACGTATTGGTCATAGTTTCTCAGTAGGAAAAATTGCTCTAAAAATAGTACACCACCATCGTCGATAAAGTCGCCACTGACGCTAGGATATCCCTTTGATGGCCATTTCCCTGAGCTAAATACATAAGTGAATATCAACAAACAGTTGTCACGCGTATTTGTTCACGGATATACTCAATACAGACGATACAATATGCCTAATTACAACATGTATCTGGTGTAAACTGAAATTGCAGCCCGTCAGAGGAGTGTTGGAATTATCGCTGATAAAATCACCATCATCAGCTCTAGAAAATCCTCCTGGGGCCCACTGACTGACGCTAAAAACCCAAGTGAATATGACCAAGTGGTTGTCACAAGAAATTGTCCTCTGGTCTGTTTGATATGAATGTTTTACCCTTGTCCTAAAATCGAGCCTCGTTCTGGGTTAGGTAATTCGAAAACCGACTGTAAGAAATTCGCGGCAGTGAAAGTTTAATGCGATACGTCGGTAAATTTCGCCGATCTGGTGGGTTTTTCTGATACGACGTATCTTTAATTAACCTTCCTACATCTTCGAATGCAATGAGTAATAAAATTCACACTAGCGGGTGGAAAATTCTCTTGGGGTCACTGGTTTTTCCCACCTAAAATAGCTCGTAGGGGTTTTTCTCACCTAAAATAGCTCGTAGGGAATTTCCCATGCTAATAGTTATGCGCACGCGCAAGAACTATTAATTTCTGGATCTTGTGCCTGTAACCAGAGTACGACTAACACTGACTGCGTTTCCTTGATACGGTAAGCTTCATAAAATGGCTTTGCATAATTGTATATTTCTCACCAGGTAGGTACGACTAGTTCTCTTATTCATGTTTTTTTTTTAAGTTTTTTATTACTACTGCGCCCTGGACATCTTCCAACTTCCAACTTCCAAGGTTGTGCTAGCTTCCCTTTACCAGCTCAATTGGGCCGCGCAGATTAATTAATGCACTTTTTTGCTGCTCGAGAGAGAATCTTGCCATGAATTAGACCCCATTCCCATAGATTTTAGATCGATCTATCCCTATGGGGAGTCTCACTAGATTACTGTCAGCTTGGCCGGTGTAACAGTAATCCAAGTCCCCCAGGAACCGAGGTTCTTCGGACCTCGGTTCCTGGTAATAGTTGTCTGTAGGACTAACATTACTTGGGAATAGTAGTCCTGCAGGGACTTAAGTTGCTCATAATTAGAGTAGGTAGGACTTGTATTACTGTCGGACTTTTATTCCTGTTACACCTATGACAGTAATAAAAGTCCAGCCATTTGAAAGTCCTATCCTTAGCCAATAATACTGTTAAATGATAAAACTATAAATGTATATGAAATCCTTCTGGTGAGCCATACATCAGACAAAAAATAAAAAAGTTTGCAACTTCAGCTCCTCTGTGTAGTGGTTAGCGCGCAAGACCACCAGGTAAGAATTCATGAATCGTTCTGTTGCATATATGGGTTCAAGACCTACCTTTGACGTGACCTTCCCCCCCCTTCCCCCTATTTATTACTTGTAGTATAATGTTTAATGGTGTTTTTAATGTCTAATATGCGTTCGGAATTCCGTGCTCATTACATTTACAACTTTTTTTGTTTTGTCTTTTAAGTGTCAAATCACCAAAATAGCAAAGGATTATTACAGAACATTATATACATATATTGCAATTTTCAATTTCTAAACTGTCTTGATTTGTCTTAAATTTCAGCCCATACTTTCCAAGAGCAAATTTCCATCAAGTTTGAGTTTTTTTTTTTTTTATTTCAGCAAGTGTAAACCGAAAAATAAATCTAAGAACGAAGATCCCGCATTTTGTGTAAAGTGATTTTTCTCTTAGGAATAAGGTTTTGAAAAAGAGAGAGAGGGAGAGAAAATAAGAATTTCGACGCAAAACACAAAAGGTACACCCCAGTAGAAAAGGACATGAAATAATTTACACTGTACATATACCTCAAATGATGAAAATAAGGGATGCCTTTGGATGATGCCTTATTTTGTTAAAAAAAAATATACATATCGGGCAAACCAGGCTCATACATATTGTGCACTGAGGGAGGAGTACGACAAAAATATGCGTTAACACGTCAAAATTTGAGTTTACTATATGAAAAATACACATAAAATTAATAAATTGTTTTTGTTTCTTCATTAATATGCATATAAACTGCCTATAAGAAAACATTGTAAAATATAAAGATAAAATGTCATATGAATAGAATAAAGCAAACGTTTATTACATCTTTAAAACTAGTATGTCTCTATATCTATTTATTCATGTCATTTCTTGGTGTAAACTATTTAGGACATGCGTTACTAAAATGTTAGAAACGCATGTCCCATTAGGACGTGCATTACTACACGTAGGACTTGCATTACTTGGGAGCCTTCGTCCTACGGACATTGAATCCTAGTAACATATGTCCTAGGACTTCCATTCCTAACAATACATGCCCTAGGACTTGCATTCCCAGGACTTAGTGTCCGGGCGGACTTGGGTTACTAGGACGTGCACTCCTGCCACACCGGCTTAAGCGTCTGTCCCGCCTACTAAAAGCTGTAAGGGGGTAATTAACTATGGTGCGCGCTCGGCTGACTGCAATTTAGCGTGAACCCCCAGGGAGTTAGGTCAATTTAAATCTTAATCTCTGGATCGATCTAAATCTCTGGGAATGCACCCTTAGACAGAGACATATCAGTGAATATCTAATAAAAATTCTATCCGTAAATCTGGTAGAGAGTAGGCCAGCGGCTTAATGTGAGAGCATCAGCGGTTCAATGTACTTACATGAGAGTCACTCGATCCCACACTCCCAGTGCTAGTGCATATCATAGCTCGAACTTAAGTCTATACCATAACGGCAGACTTGTAATTATGAGAATAAAAAATATAATGACTTAAGCTTTTTTAAGGGGGAGGGTCAATCTCTCTGATACATATATATTATTTAGGATCATAACAATATATTTCTGTGAGGTATTAATTATTGTGAATTTACTCTAAGAATAGAACTACATGACTACTGTATGAGTGTAAAGTAGCCAGTTTCAGATTTGTTGCCACCATTCAATAGGATATATCTAATTTTAAGACTTTATGAATTAAGAAAATTCAATACTAATATCTGTAAAATTCACCATTTTCTCCACTGAAAAGATTAAGTCATTTCTGTAAACAAATTATTTTAACTACTGGAATTACTAGAAAGAAGCCCGAGGAAAACATTGACACACAGGTGAATAAGTACTAATATGTTAGGATTTCTCAGTTATTACACAAGTTTATCATAAATGTAATGTCAACTGAAAATATATTATTCTGTTACAGCCTGTTTATACATGAACATTGTGTTGGAGCAGTATGGCAAATTTTATTGAAAGTCACAGGACTCATCACGGCTACAAAACAGAGATTCTGACAGGAGAAAGTCAACTTGATCCAAAGTTTTTGTGTCCCCTTTGTAAGTGTCTTCTCAAGAAACCTGTTCAGAATTTATGTGGCCACAGATTTTGTGCTGAATGTCTGAGAGAAGTTACCAGGTAAATATGTTTTTAAACAATCTTCATTGTGTATAGATACTCAGGTCCCACCCCAAATGCAAATTGCCAGAAAGCTATGCCCAAAAATTCTGAAAAATTTGTGAATTTCAGATTCTGTTCACTTTCTGCTTTAAGCTAATTTACCAGCAGGTAGTTGTACTGAGTGATAGGCTGAAGGTCCAGCAAGAAACTTAGCTGTATCATATAGTATACTTATTTTTCCATTGTTATTGTACACTTTAAGTACTGTTATTGCAATTGTCATTGTAAATTTGTAGTTGCACCAAATAGATAAATTGATAAATAAATAGATATAAATATTTTAGCACAGACTGGTGAACTTTTTCTAAGTCCTAAATTTTAATCTGATGAAGCACTGGTTGTCACTACTGGACCTAGTCCTCTGGATGAGGATGAAGCATTTGACTTTGAAATTTCTGCCTTTGTATATATATATATATATATATATATATATATATATATATATATATATATATATATATATATATAAACACTGCACTTTTAATATAACCATTATTATTTCTCCCCACAGTAAAAATGAGGACGTAATATGCCCAGCATGTGAAGGAGAAGATGAAGTGATAGAAGATGAAAGTCTTTTGAGCATTGGAAAGGTAGAATATTATAGTTAATGTTTAGAAAAAATACATAAGACAACATGCAACAAGGGTGGTTACCCTCATATTATGTATTATTCATTACTGCAAATAAGACAAAAACTAATGAAGATATTTTTTCTGTTTCCTTTTTTTTGGACACAGTGGCAAAGAAATCTTCACAGCTTCTGTGTCAAATGAATTTAATTGGATATTTTAGGGATATGCAAAAATTAAACAACATTTGAATTATATTTTATTTTGCAGGTATTTCCTGATGTTGCTCTTATCCGAGATATGGCAAAGTTAGACGTAACCTGCCCTCACAGCAACTGTCAGTGGAGTGGAAAGTTTGGTGAAATGCAGGTAATGCTGTGAAAATAAATCACTTTCTTTTTTTGATTTAATTTTTATTTTTTGACTGTGCTGTGCATTACTAGACATATGCTGATGGTCCATCTTTCTGCGCAAAAGTACTTATATTAAATAGAAATAAGTGTGATTGTAATTCATTATGCCTTTCTGAAGTTATTTTACTTTTGAGATAGTTGGACAATAACCCCTGATATCTCTTAATTGATTTTTCACAAATTTTAAGAAATTTTGAGTATTTCCAAGTCTCTCAAAGTCTCCATGCTTCTGACAACATGGCTGGGTGTTATTATACAAAGTAAACATTTTTTAAATAAAAGAATTTCTGCACGGCATCTTACAGAAACATGAGGATGTGTGCCCACAAAAACCCTGTGAACATCCCCAGTGCAAGGGGACCCATCCACAAGTTTGCTGTCCTAACAAAAAAGATCGCTGTCAATCTTGTGGATTGCAGATGACTCTGAAGCAACTGCAGGTAATGTGATTTCCTTGTGATGGTTTGTCACTGAAACAGTGTTGTGATGATATGATATTGTAAAATTGGGCCTCAAGTCTATATTATATATGTGTCCTACTGTCCAGCATAGTCGACATGTTGGATCCATGTCAATTCTAAATCATATTATGTTTCAACAATGAAGGTTCTTGAAAATAGAATAATATTTATTTACTAGTGTGATAATCCCACAGGCTTCAGCTGTAAATGCTCTTTGTTGCCGAAAAACTTTTTAAGAAAAGAAATTTGTGGAAAAACACATAATTGCACTCTCTCTCTCTCTCTCTCACACACACACACACACACACACACACACAGACACATACACACACAGGCATTGATTTATGAGTTCCACTTTGTTGAATCAATACACACAAAAAGCTTATGGACAAAGATCTATCCCATGATTGATCCCATATTTACCTAACCATACAAGGCTAATATATGTAAAATATTTCAGAGCACCCATCCTTCAGAATGCCCCAAAGCATGTGTCACTTGTTCGATCTGTGAATCTGTAATGCTTCGTGAAAATGTAAGTATGATATTGATAGTGCATATAGTGTGTTTATCTTCGTCTACCTATGGAAAAAAAATCTATAATATAAGGTCTTAAAAGAAAAAAATTAAAATTTTTGGAAGCATTTTTGTTTGCTTGTGTTAAATCATGAAGATATTATTGAAGAAAGCATGGTGTTTGTATTTCTTCATTACACTTGGCTTAAAGTCAAATGCTCTATCCATTATAATAACCTTTTTCTGCATATTTTTTTATGTACAGACACAGATGTATCTGTACATATAGCCATCATCTGCGTCTGTCGTCGCCGTCGCTGCCGTCGCCGTGCACTTTTACCGATAACACGATAAGTGGAAATCTGTTTTTTCTTTTGTTTTGAAACTTACAGAACTGATGAATATTCATAATACACAGGTCAAGTTCGAAAATCAGCATGATCGGGTCACTTTTAGGGAATTTATGCTGTTTTTTCACTTTTTTCAGCATATATGCAGCATCGATAAAACAATATGGGAAAACCATTTTACCTTTTGGCTTGAAACTTACAGAACTGATGAATATTCATAATACGCAGGTCAAGTTCGAAAATCAGCATAATTGGGTCATTTTTAGGGAATTTATGCTGTTTTTTCAGCATATATGCAGCACCGATAACACAATAAGTGGAAAACCATTTTACCTTTTGGCTTGAAACTTACAGAACTGATGAATATTCACAAAACCAGGGAATTATATCGGAGGGAATGGAAACGGGAGGGGGGTGTGACGATTTCAAGCAATATCATTGGTTCTTATCAATAGAGAGCTGATAACAAAAGAACCCTATCTGTGTTAAGGCCACGTGATTTAACAGAGACGAGCAATAGCCAATCACAGAATGCCTAACCATAACATGTGAGATGGGCACAGACGCGGATTCTTCGTGTGCACGTATGTGTACATCTTTTTCAGGAATTTGTACACAGACGGTGTAGTGTTATCTGTGTCGTTTCGTTTGACGAATGAAGAGGATGACCAGCTCACGAGTAAGGTAAAGTTCCTTTTTTTATCATGCAGAAAGCTGTTAAAACGCTAGTTTGAAATTGGTCTCGGTTTTTTATCGGCGAGAAGGGGGGGCACTGTTCAAAATATTCTTTAAAAATTAATTTTCGTCCAATATGTCTACATAATATGAAAAAATATATTACTAAAGAAGTGAGGGACTGCAGGTAGGAAAAAGTTAGGCTTCATAGGCTGTAAACATATATAAATACGCAGATGAAAAACACAGTGGATGTGGTCGTATCCGCCATCTTGAAAATAAAGTTGTAGGATTCTGGCAAATTTGCAAGTTTTTGGAAAAATTGTGAGAGTGACACGATGTATCGAGCATACATACAGAAAACCTATTACTTCTGCAATACTTTTGGGTGATAAGTTTGTCAAAATCTTTTAAAAATGGCGATAAATAGCCGTGACATGAGACGCGTCAGTGACATCCAGAGTTTGTTGTCAGAACACGCTATTAACACACCTCTCGGGGTTTTTCAGTTTACGGATCTTTGTGCGATGAAAACATGTTAATGTTAGCTTTTATTTTACACCCAAATACATGTAGCATGCATTGGGCTATGTTGTTCAGATTGTCACGCAGCTGTTTTAACAAATGAACCAGAATTATATTGAACTTTGTAAATTCGGACATTGGTCACGTGGTTTAGACCCAAATATATGCCCATTTGAATTTGCACGTTTTAAGTATTTTTAATGGGAAATGATGAATTGACAGCTTGTTTTTCGTGAAAGACTAGTCTGAAAGGGTGCACTGGTGTACAAATGAACTTAAGTATAACAGCTGGTCTCTGTGTTTTTTACTTCTCTATCGTGGCACTTTTTAGCTCACCAACCTTGTTGTGGAAATGGAATATAACAGGCGTGTGTGTTTAGACAATTTTGAATTTGTTTTTATATTTTTAAAGGAAATGTCAGTAGAAAATTACAATTTGGATTTTTTTTCTAGCCAGTTCTGAATATGCTTCTTACTTATAGAAAGTTTTATATGACCAGGGCTGTGCCAGTTCTATTAAATCAGCACTTCCTTTGTGTAGCCTACATCTATATCATAAAGACCTTACTATATTTACCACTTTGTAATTGGGTACAAGTATTCTGTTGTAACAATTGTTGATGATGTCCTCCTCTGTAATTAGAACTGATTAGATGCACGCCTTATCATGGTTGCAATTTCTATGGGCGATCCTTGCTATTGTCTAAAACTCTATAGGCCTACCTGTGATTTAATTGCCTGGCTGCTTTTATACCTGTTAAATTTACCTGGTCGGGTAAAATGGCATGTCCAGACAGGGGACATTATAAGCTATCTGAAACATAGACTGTGATACTTGTGGAAAATTGTCTCGTTAAATTTTCGAATGATCACACAATGGGAAAATGTACAGTTATTATTTTTACTCTTTTCAGATCTGTTATGGCCAATGGACATGGGGAAAAGAAAAGGTCACCATCTTCTGTTGCTACTGCAGGCAGATAGAGGTTGCTGCTATCACAAAGAGATACGGCATAGAATTTTAAATTGAAATAAACTAATTAAATCCATCCATTGCAACTTATACTGCTGTCTGACATTTAATCCTTATTATAGGCCTACAGTTGAACCTAAAGTTGAAATCTTCATCAAAATCCTATAACACATGTACTGCTACATATACAAGCAAGTAAATAAGGTACAGGAAACAAATACAGGGGCGGATCTAGATATATTTTCTGACAGTCTTCCAAATTATCTTTGCATCCCTCCTCCATTTTTAACATCTTCCGCCAAAAAAAAAAAAAAAAAAATATCCAGATGAAGATGGCCAATAAGTCAAGGTATTACCGTTGTAGCTAATGGTGCTTTCGGTCACTGACTGATCTGTTGACATACATCAACTAAGTTTTTTTTATTATGATAAAAATGGTATAGTAGATTATGCTTCCTACTAAATATTAACAACACATTTCTGATCACAGAAAAAATGTCCTGTGTGTGTACTTTTCAATTTGTGTCAGCACTATTCATGATAATAAATACTCATGAAGAGGTACGTCTGTTAAATATGATATGTAAAGAAGTCAAATTTCATAGCCTACCAGTCTACATCGCGCAAGAGAATGGCCTTACTAGTACTTGCTCAATGACATTTGCTCTCCGCTGACATGATTTTTAAGAAAACCATGTGAACTGCATTTTTTTTTTTTTTTTTTTTTTTTTTTGCATACTTATCACAAACAACCAAGTTTTCACTTGTATTGACAACAAAACTAATAACAAGCATTAATTTGTATTTAAACTTCTGGTCAAAATAAAAACAACTTGTAATTTCTTCTTTGTGAATATTTTCAATTTCTACTATAAGCACGTAAGTAATCTGTGCTGTTATCCACTACCTGAGAGGGCACCTAATGGGCCTGAGAGGACACTTGTTTATACATGTCGAAGGTGAACCAAATAATTTCGTTAGGTCGTCGTTGTGGAAAAATCAGCTTTTACATAGTCAATTCACTGAAAAATCTGTATCAAAGATCATAATGTGTGTAATGTGGTCTCTGTTATCCAAATTTTTAATTAACTTGTCGATAACATAGGAGTATTAGTTTTTTTTTCTCGCTCTCGCGGTTTCCGTATACCAGCATGACGGGCTTAGTTATGGGTTGTTCTCGCGTATTCTCGCAAGTTAACGGACTACTCTTTGGATTTCCACAGGTGACCCCCCGTCGCTTTGGCCTGTCATTCATACACTTTGCCCCGCCCCTTAACAGAGATAGGGACAATAGACCACTACCCGTTTCCATTCCCTCCGATATAATTCCCTGATAAAACGCAGGTCAAGTTCGAAAATTGCATGATTGGGTCATTTTTAGGGAATTTATGCTGTTTTTTCACTTTTTTTCAGCATATATGCAACACCGAAAACACGATAAGTGAAAAACCATTTTACCTTTTGGCTTGAAACTTACAAAACTGATGAATATTCATAATACGCAGATCAAGTTTGAAAATCAGCGTGATCGGACCAATTTTTTGGAAGTTATGCTGTTTTTTCACTTTTTTCAGCATATATGCAATACCGATAACACATTTCAAGGAAAATCAATTGGCCAATTGTCATGAAATTCACAGGGGTGATCAGTCTTACTGAAATACAGATGAAGTTAGAAAATAAGCTCTATTGGTTCATCATCATCATCATTTAGAGCCTATAGTGTTCCACTGCTGGACAAAAGCCTCAGCATGCTTTTTTCATTGTTTCCTATCCTGAGCCTCAGATTTCCAGTTTGGCCAAGGTTTCTTCTTCCAAGACTTCCAGTAGTCATCTAATTCATCCCTCCATGGTTTGACCGCCCTTCCTCTTTTTCTTTGTCCATACCTTGGGGTCCATTCTATAAGCCTGATTGTCCACCTATTGTCCTTCATTCTTTTGACATGTCCTGCCCACCTCCATTTCATTTCTTTAACTGTGAGCAGTACGTCCTTAACTTTGGTCTGTTCACGTAACCATACATTCGTTTTCCGCTCTCTTGGACTGATGTTCAACATAATTTTTTCCATCTTTCTCTGAGCTACTTGTAGCTTGTCTTCCATGGAGGCATTCAGTGCCCAGGTCTCTGAACCATAGGTGATTGCCGGCAGCACACAAGCATTGAACACTTTCTTTTTCAGGCAGGTAGGAAGGTTGCTCTTGAAGATGTCATTGTGCTTCCCATATGCTCCCATCCTGCTTTTATCCTTCGTTGGATTTCTTTCTCCAGTGTTCGATCACTAAGGCTGAACCGTTGCCCAAGGTATATATACTCTTCTACTGCTTCTATCTCTTTGGTGTTGACCTTCACTGTGCAAGGGGTGGTTAGTGGTCCAAACATCACCTTTGTCTTGCTGGTGTTCATCTTTAGCCCACTTTTTGCGCTTTCATCTGCTAACGCCTGTAGCATTTCTTCGAGGTCTTTTGCATCATCTGCTACTATTATGATGTCGTCTGCAAACCTAAGGTGATTGAGCCTGGTACCGTCTATGTTTATGCCCTTGTC